AACTCATTGTTTGAGTAACAACACACTTCGGAACATATTTATCAAATAATTTTAAAATAGTTTCATTAAAGTGGGAAGCACTAAATTCAATATTGCCACTGTAATCTGGCCAAGTTACTTTAGAAAGTTCGTAATTAATCTTATTAAAATTAGCTTTGGCAAAGTTGAACGGAAAAAAAGGTCTTGTGTATTGTTATGAGGAAAAGGGTTATGTATAATTATCATTCTTTAAACATTGTATTAGATTATGTTAACGTTAGTAATATATTAGTATTTTTAATTCACTATTAGAGTAACCGTCGATTCTGTACTGTGGTACAGTATCAAGTCTCTAAATTTGAGATTTTAAGTTAGAGACAATTTTTGAGACTTGAGATGATTTTGCTATTCTGTAAGTGACAGTCACACAATCTATTACTTTTCATTATTCAGAGATGTTTTTACAGTTGAAAATAAATAAAATAAATATGGCGATAACAAATATTAAATTTTGTATGACATAGTCAAAAAACATAATAACCAATAAAAATATAAATATATATTCACTTTGTTTCATATTATTTACGAAATTTATATAAAATTTATTTATTTTTAATCTTTTGGTGTTTGAGCTGCTTACAAAATATAAAAAAAAAGACAATCGATTTATATCTACGATGATCTCTATTCAGTATACTCAAAATGGCAGACAAGAGGCAGACAAGAGGCCATTTTGAGTATACTGAATAGAGATCATCGTAGATATAAATCGATGGCCTCTTGTCTGCCATTTTGAGTATATTGAATAGAATTCGTTTTAGTTTTGTGATCTGCTAACTATCAGGTCTCAAATTTGAGGCAATATTTTTAGACTAACGCTAGAGACTGTTTAGTGAATAGTAACTAGTTACAAATTGAGACTTTACCTCAAAATGTCTCAAATAGAGACTAGAAACGGGTTACAAAATCCCGCTCTAAGTATGCTAAGTTTTATAATTCAAAAATGCTCGGATTTCGATCCTTAGGTTGACGTTATACATCTTATGGTATTTACCTTGCTTTGATTTCTGAAATTTGAACTTGGCCCCTCCTTACTTGTTTTCGTTTGTTTAAAATAAATGGTGATAAGTATACAGAGAATATATTTTTATAATTTTGTCATACTACACGTCACTTATATAAAATATTTACAATGTTTATTCACTTGGTCCCTGCTCGGGCGGCATGAAAAATCTCAAGCGTTTTTGAGATGCGAAGAAATATACTTGGGAATGCGCGAATAAATTGTAATTGTAAACGAATAGTATGCATATTAGCCT